TACCAGCACTGATAATGCCAGTCTGAACAGCATTAAAATCTGAAAAGCAAATTTGGATTAAAATAATAATTAATAGTAATAACAGTTTTCAATTTGTAATATCTGGAATCTACAAACTGTTACTTCAGCCATTCTGGCCATTGCTATGGCAAAAGCAAAAGACAAAGCTTGATGATGTGTTTGTCAGCTACTCAGAAGACATCAAATAGTTTATTGTGATGATGCACTGACAAAATAATGCACTGAATTACAGTGAGAAAAAGGCATACTCTTCGTGTTAAGCAAGACTTACTTTATATATTAGAACAAAAGCAACACAAAAGCTCTTTACACCTTTACCTTTTGTTGTCATCATTACAACCCAGCAACACTCCCAACAGCTTAATTTTTTAGGGGCTAGATATATAATATATGACTGAACAACTTTAAAGTAAAACAAAGAATTGCACAAGGTTCCCAAAACTGTGATTATGTCAATTTAGTGGAGCTATCTTCCTTCTTGGAATAGCATATTTTTCTTGAACCAAAAAGCATATCATGATGACAATGATGCTGTATGAAACAAAACTTTTAGGAAACACAAGCAGTGCTCTGACAACTACCCTGTCATAGCATGGAGGGTCTGCTTACTCTGAATTGCTTAAAAGATCTTATTCTTTTTTCTGCGTGAACTGGGTGTAAACCAGGCGTTGAAACATCTGTGGTTAAGTGGGTGTAAGTGCTCACTCTTGCTAAACTCCTGCTATTTTGATGAAATCTGGCAAATAAGGTAGTTCGTCTTTTAAGCAAAGCTAAGATACTTTTTTTAAAAAAAAGACTTCAGTATTTAGAAAGGTTTTAGTTCATCTTTTATGACTTCTTATTATATTGCTACCAGGATCCTTCTCTGTTTTACCAAAGACAGCACTAAATGTGTTTGACCAGGAGGAAAAGAATGACACGCATTGGAGAATACCTTGCATCCAGGGATAAATACATCAGTCATCTTCAGGTTCCTTATTCCAAATGTGCTTTCTGTATTTCTTGATTGTGGGATTGTTTTAACTTACATATAACTATATGCATAAAATAGCTAAATAAATAAATTTCAAATTCAGTTTGAACAAACTACTGTCTTTCTGGTATCAAACATCCCTTTAACTCAAGACCCAGGAAAATGAGACTCTCTGCACAGTCTTCCCTTGGACACAAGTTTACATGTGTAAATTTAGTTTGAGATTTTGAATTTACTCTGATTTAACTGTGACAAATCTCTAAATTTGTTCATGCAGGTTCATTAATCACTGGAAGGCTTGAAATCACTTAAGATCAAGGACCCCCACTTCACCTCTAAACCATAGATATGACCTAAGGTATTGCTGGAAACCATAATAGTCATTTCCACTGCTGGATGCAGGACTAGGGGGCTTAGCAAGGCCTATTACATGAACAAAACGTACCAGGATCCATTGAAATAACTTTAGAAAAAAGTCCCTGCTTGGAGTTTTCCATTAACAGGCCTGATAGAAAACATTTTATGGAAGAGGTGAAAATTCTTGTTCCCATTGCTCAGATGTTAATAGCAACATGGCAATGTGCTGCCATCAGCAGCAGGAACTCAGCCAGGCTATTAAGTGTTGTAGCTGGCAGGATTACTTACATTTTGCAGCTGGACTCGGCTTTGTGCCATACACTCTGACTTTGCCATCATGCTGGAAGCATTCAGGCTGTAGGTCTTCCTATTCTGTGTTTCTTTCAGCTGTTCATGAATTTGCTTTCTTTGTTTCCTGCAGAGAGAAATAAAATTCATGTAAGAAAGAGCTAGTTTGATCTTCTGCTATAGCCATGATATTTTTATAGCTGTGGTTCCCTTTGTTCAAAACTAGTGAATTAGCTGAGCTAATTCACTAGTGTCTAATATTTCAATGCAGTGGTCATTTTCTGGCAAGGCTTAAGAAGAAAAAAGGGAGCTCTTCTGTTTAAAATATCTTCTATTCCCAGATTACTATAATAGCATGCTAGTTGCTTTAGCTCAGAATTTTGTAAGGCCACCTATTACATATTTAACAATAACTTGAAAGTAGGCCTGAGTTTTAAAAAAGCATTTTGCTTTGATTTGGAACAAACATTTTGGCTAATACAGCAGGCATTAGCCCCTGTTGCCTATTAAAAGTGTCGAGAATCAAAGATTTCTGGTAGCTGATTAAACTTGACCTATAACTCAGTATCTTGTATAGACCAGCTTTTGCTTACATGCTTAAACCTGGAATGAAACATCAGTACAGTATCAGAGGCTGGTTTTTTAACGTATTATGCTATGATCCACTATGTCAGAGCTAGGAATACCACACTAGATGAATAACTTGCAATATTCAAGAGATAACTACACTAATTAATAAAGGTGTTCTGCTTCCGCTACACTGTAATGACAAACTGAGTTTTAAAGTTCTCTACATGCTTGAGAATATAAGGCAGCAAACTTCATTTTAAATATTTCTTTTATCTTCTGCAAAGCAATACCTCAGGTGGGCAAAAACTATTAGCAAAATATATTTACGGTCTTTTATAAGTCTCCATTATTTTGATAAGCTACACTGTCTGAGACTATCAGTTTTAAATAATCATGAGAAATAACTCCACAATACCATTTTAATTCTTTCCTTCCTTCCCTTCTTCCTTTTTTTTGCCCAGCAGATACATCTCTGGCAGTGAACCTACAAAGTCCTGGAAACTGCCCAGCAAGGTCAAGAACTTGCCAGCAGCAGCAGCACTTTGTTATGTCACCAGCAGCTTCTGGAAGTAATTGTGGAGGAGCCAAAGTTCAGAAGGAAGTGATTTCAAGGAAGTGTCGATAAGAAATAATGGAAATGCAGTCTTTATAGACTGAAATTTGAAATTTTAGCAAAGAAGGTTCACCAACATTTTGTAAAGTTTTAGGTGATTTTGCTGCTGAATACCTTGTGACATCATTGAGTTTTATACCCTCTTATTGACTCAGGTCACTGAATTTGACATGACACTGAATGAAGAATAAAAGTCACTAACTTCTTTCAGTGAAGTCTGTGTCTACTGCAGGCAAGTGTGAGAAATCAGAGCAAAATAACTTCCTTAAAGTGGTAAGGGGAGGAAATTTGGAGAAAAGGACAAGATCCTTCAGTATGGAAGCAAGCAGTGAGAATTATCACATTTCAGATATTCAATTTTAATAATAGAGTTTTTATATATTAAAGTAAGTATGTAGGATTTCCTTTGCCCTTTAGTTCCTTAGTTCTGATTCAGCAATGCACAGTTTAAGCACTTGTTTAAATTCAATGAGCTTTAAGCAACTGCTTAGAAGTAGGTATTTGTTATAGCACATTTCCTGCTGGTCATAAACTTCAATAAATCTTGGACTCTGTAAGTATCTCTTATGCTTTCTACTTACATCCTATTTTGAAACAGCATGGAAAATGAAAAAAACCCAAAACGAATAAAAAACCACCCATTGTAAGCATGTTACGTACGTGAGTGGCATGTTCTGAGCATAGCATATAATTAGCAAGACTTGTGAATGTGGGTGGGTGAGGAAACAATTTCTCAATCACAAAAATTTATTAAAATTTCAAACTTCTTCCTTAGTCAAAAATTACCAAAATAATCTGAATAGATAAAAATCTGAAGGATTACAGTGTCAAATTAAATTATTCAGTTGATTTTGAAACATCTCTTCCAAAATTCTTTTTTGATATCTACTCATTTTTGAGAACAATGAAATTGAATAATTTAATTTGCAAAATGTCAATATGAACTCTCTAGCTTCTCACAAAATTCCAGGGGAAATTCCTAAAAGCAGCTCTAGAGTTTGTATGAATACTTATTTTCTGACAGACTATACTACATATACTGAGGAAATAAACATATATCTCCATATGTTCTACTGGGAAGCCAACCAATTGCATTTTGTCTCCATAAAGGTTATGGAATATCCAGTCTTTTTTGATGACTGGTTTTGAGTAGAGACTTCATACAAAGTCTAAACAATGACAGTGAAACATGATCACAGCATCAGAGTTTGGGAATCTCTGCTCTACAAAGAATGTTTTCAGAATTTAATCAGGGAAATCACAAAACAAACTACAGATTTTTGGAACTCTAATTTGGATTTATTTAGAAAACCCAAGTTTAGAGTTGTTTCTACATCTATAAACACATGCAAGTGAACAGCTTCACTGCTGCAATCTTTACCGTTACAATTGAGATTCCCAAAGGTAATTTACTGAGAGAAACAATCTAATAATTAATTTCCTTTTATGTTCATGCGACCTAACATTAATATTAGGTTTATGCATATTCATTTTGCCAAACCATAGGATGCAGTTATAAAACTAGAAACTATTAATAATTCAAAGTTACTCACTGATTAATAGATTTATAACTTTTGTTTTGAAAACAAATGGTCCTTACGTGTTCTACTTCAGAGATATTCAGCAATAAAATATTGTTACTTCAGCAAGAAATAAAGTCACTAGTCATTTATAAAAGTCTAAGCCATAAAAAGCAGCCCATTACTGTACTCTCTCTCTGTTGCTGACACTTACAGCACTTTCTTGATCACCCTAAAAGGAATAATTGGAAGGGCACAGTGTTTAATTACAGTTCTAAACTTCCTCAGACTGAATTTATGTTAAAGAAGGATTTTTAATTTGATGGTGGGTAGGGAAGCGCATATTTCTAGCAGCAGATATTATACAATTGTCAGATTAAGAAAGTCAGGGTCAGGTTCTTCAAGGAAATTTCTCTTCAAGAGTGCACCATTCAGAATTTCTGTAGCTTCTGGCAATATTTTAAAATTTTGATACATTATATTAAACCTAGGATTATCTCCCATCAGGAGGAACGTTTTGATACCTCTTAGGCATCATCAAGATACATCTGCCTGATGAAGAAGCTTCTGTTGACTAACATGTGGTAAGAGTTGAGACACTTGAAATTTGTTGGGTCTTACACCCTTAAGACACTGGCCAATGTCACAGTCATGATACTGTTTTATGTGGCCTCTATGCAATCTAGTGTAGACATTCTTATTTACTTTTCAGAGAGTTTGCCTGATGGAGCCACAGCCAGGGAGTTAGGGATTGATTAATTACCATTATTATGTTTTATATATTTGATAAGACCTCTTGACTGAACTGGAGGAGCTCATTTTCTCATTACTCTTCAAATTTTAGTTCCTAGAATCTGTCATAAGCGGACTTCAACTCTTCCCCATAATTCTTAACCATATTTATAATGCAGATAAAAAGCCACTCCCAACAACACTACCTCCTGCTACGGTATGAAGCACTATTGTCCTGTGAGTTCATCTTTGAAGCATTATTTCTACTCATTATTTTTAGACTCAGCTCTCCCCACCACCTCATCAAGTCATGGTACTCTGAAGTCTGCTTCAACCCAGCTCTTGACCATGCCCTACAACAGTGCAAAACCAAGAGGGGCACAGCTGAATAACAGAGGGACATTTTATTCAGACTACACTCTGTTGTTGACTGTGTGTTCTTCCAACTGACTATCCCATTCTGCCTTTTCTGAATCTCTCTTCATCAGCAAAAACCCCAAGCCTTTCTAGGAAGAACAGGAACACCGTATTCTCTCTTTCTTTCTTCTGCAGATCTAAAATGCATAATGGCATTTCTAAGGCAGTGACAAAGACTCTGCTCCCAATTTATCCTACAACCAAGGAGTTTACAGAGAGGAACTGTCCAGCCACAGCATCCTCCCCGTTAGCATCAGTATCATAATCTAGGTCCAAAGAACAATTAAACAAAATCCCTCAAGACATAAGAACACGTAGGAGTGTTTAGATAAAACGTGAACCAACTCTAATCTTCACTTAAATCATGCACAAACTAATTACCCCTGAAGTTTGAGCGGAAGAAGAAGTGGGGGGAAAGGCCTGGTGACTTTTCCAATTTCTTTTTTCCTGGTAGAATTTTTTTCCAGATTGGGGTGGGGGAAGTATTTCTCATCAGATTTCCTACCTCTTAAAAGAAATTCTAAAAAGGGGGATTCAGATAAGCATCCAGACTTTTAAATAGTTGCAAACCTCCACATTTTTGATGCTCGGCCACCATGCCTAACGTCATGCAGGTACTATTTAAATTGATATGTGTTCTCTCATTAGCTTCAGCTGGAACAGGAATGAGGGATGACAACCATACAGAACGTATCTATAGATACAGTGGTTCTGACATGCATGTCATGTAATTGCAATGAGGTTTTTGCAACTCAAATTACACACATAGCAATAAATACTATAAAATAAGGTTCCATTGGGAAGACAGAGTGGAAAGCTTATCACTTGAAGACAGTTTAGTACAGGAAATTCCACCATACTTTGATGTTCAATCTGCTTGTGCATTACAGATACTTATGCAACTACATCAGCAGTTTCCAACTCTTAGCTATAAGTTACAGATATCATCACAGAACTTCTCTCTTTCTTCATTTCTACTTTACCTTTGCTCTCAGCATACAGAAAAAAATGGGACATTCAGGGATATGAATGCAAAAAAGGAGATGGTATGTTTATACTTCTATTTTCAAGAGGAAAGTGATTATCCCACTGATAGTAAAGGACACAAAATATTTATTGTCAAAAAAAGAACTGGAAAGGACACAATGTCTTCTTTCCTGATATCAGAAAATGGAAACAAGAACACATATTACTCCTGTTCACCTTTTTTTTTTTTTTTTGGATTGAGACAGTGTAGCCACAGGGAACTGTTCTAGCCTGTCCAGAGATAATAACAGCTTCAAAAGAAGGGGAAAAACTGAAGAATTGTAAAGCCATAAAAAGGACAGAAGCTAAATAACAAACACGCTAGACGAAGGCTCTTACTTTGTTTTGAAGTAGAACGCTGCACAAAGCATGCCCACTACGACTATGCCAAAGACGATACAGGAAATAGACAGCACCTGGCGCTGGTACACTTCTTCGCTCTCTGTGAACAGCAAAATTGAGAATTATGAAAGCATCAGAAAACAATACTCGTGAAAAGTGGATTTCAGCACATCATGGTTTCACTAATGATGGACAGATAACGAGAGATTTGGAGGTCTGGATGGGCCAATTCCTCAACAGAATGGATGCTTCTCTGAACCTCTCATCTAGATAAGGTTCATAGAGTCGTGGCCTCCTAGGAAAGTTTTAGAAAGTCATTCCAATACAGACTGAGAGATACATAATAATAAAAATCAGGGTAGTTGAATATTTTCTCTGGCCTCCATGTAATTTTTCAGCTTTTTTAAAAGCTTCTACTGTCAACAGGATGAAGCGCTCCAACCATGGAATTTTCCTGGCTTAAGGCAAAACCCATCACAGTTGTAACAAAGTCCTGCAAGATTCAGAGTTCTTTTTTAGCTACCCCAAAAAAGAAAAAGTCTTTTTTTGATTGAATGATTATTACAATGCCTTACTCCCACACAACATACCACAGTAAAAAATTAATTCAATCACCTTGGATGGAACCAAATGACTACTATGCTACAATGCCCCAGATACTGCTTTCATGGGAATCTATAGTTTTTAAAGAAATTGCCTTAATAAATCTCATAATGTTCTAATTAATTTTAAAACAGGAACAGAATGAAAGTTAAAAAAGAAAAAAAGCTAAGAAAACAAGAGAAAACAGTCATTCATGACAAGCAGACAGAAGCTGATAGGCAAATGGAGTTTCACACACTGAATTAATCAACAGCTCCTTAAGTATATTTTTTTATTATTATTTCAACTACTTCTCTAGTCCAAAGCATTAACATGGTAAACAGATTGTTATTTTTTAAGATCAGTTCCTCCAACTATGCAACATACAAAGTATTTTCTTTCATATACTTTAGGTAGAGATCCAACATGTGGGATTGTAAAAGCACAGTACAAGCACTGACCAACCTATGTTTCCTTTCTAGGATGGAGATCTTCAGTGCAGACCCCCCAAACAAAATGAATACCAGACATACATATCAAGTAAGTGACAGTAATTCCACGTTCCAGGTTCATAAGTCTCAGGTTCATAATATGAAAATATTGCATGACAACATCAAGGTTAATCTAGGCAAATAATGAAAAAAAAAAATCTACACCTAGCTGGAACTTCAGTCAAATACTATCTGGGCTTATAAGGCCTGAAGACTACGTACAGTTTCCTAATCAGTACTAATTATTAATTTCGTAAGAATGGACATCACAGTGCTGTTAGTAAACATTTGGAATCTTTAACGCAGTCATTTGTCTCGTAAAAATCCCAGTCCCTTTTCATAAGCTATTTCAAATATAATTACAAGTACCAAATCTTTATTTCTTAATTACTTCTTTACTGGCTCATTCAAACACCACAGTGATTCAGAAACTGTTTCTAAGCTGCAAAATTTCTCAGCTCTTGTTGACTTTTCCCCCTCATTTAATTTTGAAATTTTAGAAGTGGTACTTTTCAAATATTTTCTTAAAAACAAAAAGAAGCAAATGTAGTAACTTACACTTTCACATGTCTAAAATATATCGGGGAAAGCTGTAATTTAATAGGAGATCCTGATAACATTGCAATAGAACTGATTCCAGTAGAGCTTTAGGCCCTTTCCTCATCGGCACATATAATATTTGGAGCTAGACAGTAAATTTTCACTGGCAATGAACTAAATGTTTGGGAGTTTAATTTCTTTTTTGTTTTGTTTGTTTGTTCTTGCTAGCCCATGAAACACTTTCATTTTCACTGCAGAACACAAAGGACTAATCTTACAAATTCTGAATTCCTATGTTGAGACGGATCACACAGCAAATAGTTAAAGAATTGCTCTGTTCAGCGATTGTTAATATATTCAGCCTGAATACCAATTTCAGCATGTACTGTCTAAGACCCCAACTAAACCATACATACTCATGAACTGTAATTTCACTCAAACGTTGCATATAATTAAAGAAAAAAATCTATTTATTATAAGAAACTGATTTAAGTAATGTGTGCAAATAGGCTTAATTTTACTTTTCTTTCAATCTAAATCCTCATTACTTAGCTTTTTTTTTTATCTTTTGTAATCTTTTTGAGAAAGGTGAGTTGAATGCAGCTATGGTCTTTTGTCAGTCCTGAATATCTATCACTGCCTTGTTTAAAATACTTTAGAATGCATCTTACCAAGATAAAAGCACGTCAGAGACCAGACAATATTATCTTGCTCAAACAACTATGTGGTTTAAGTCTTTTGTGTAGTCAGATTAATCCCTGTCACTAGCTTTCAACACACGCTGATCAATGCTTTGTTTCCTTTTTGTTTATTTTGTACAGTGCATCTTTAAAGAACTACTTATTAACTTTTCGCCATTTCTTAGACAGCTTTGTTCATTTTTTTATATCCTTTAAATCTTTATTTATGTATTAGACTCCACCATTTTTTGTTTCCAACATCTTAAAATATAATCAGTTAAGCATTTTTTTTATTCTCTAATCTCCCACACTGGCTTTCTGAAAAACAAAACAAACCAAAAAAACCCCATCACAGAACCCAAAAAAATCCACCAACAAAAAACCCTTCTTACTGACAGAAATGTAATCTGTCTCTCTCTGCAAACTTTGAAGGTCTCCTCACTCTTGCCTTGATTTAATGTCACAATTGCTCTAAATACTATAGCACAGCTGAGACCTTCTCTAGCCAAGGTGTACTGAATAGGGCCTTTAAATAAGTTAGAAGGCTACAGCTAAGTACTGCAGAGGACTTTTCCTCTCACAGAACAGAAAGCTGTGACAATTCAACATGTAGAAAAAAGAACTGAAAACTCCTTCGCCATAGTTGAAGATGTGCATCAGCTTGTGCATACACATATTGACACACCGAAACAAACTTCCCAAGGTAATCTAAAGTGTGACTGAAGTTATGATAAACCTCTCTTTATTCACAGCTATTCATGTATTCCTTATGAAGTAAACCACTAACTACTATTCTATTGAAATAAGTACTCTAGGGAGAGGATTCCTCATTTAATGAGCAACCAAGAAAATATTGCAGCTAAAGACTAAAATGTAAACTGCCACGGATATTCCTAGATAATCCATTTGAGGAGTTAAGACTACAGAACACCAATTCCACCAAGCATTCAAATTACACAAAAATACATAACCTATGCCAACAGAAATACAACCACAGACCACAGTGCTGAAAAATAACAAGGTTATTTAGATACAGACTATTTTGTTTAATAAACAATACAGAAATAAAGATCTTTCCAGAACATAAAGACGAGACAAACTCACATGGGACATGAAGCCTGTTGAAAGGCTGGGTTCCCGTAGAAAAGTGCCCATTCACTCTGTGCACAGTTACATGTTTAGTCCATTTATATTTATACTATTGATTGTTTCTTATTTTCATTTCTGCTACAAAATTGCC